TTTTTTTTCTCTTTCTAAAAATGTGTCTGACAGAGGATAGATTATTGTCCAAGTACATTGATTTATAAAGTTATTGTGCAATACTTCATCATAGGTTTTTCATCATAGTCCTTGTAAATGCAAGTATAGACAGACGTAGTGTGTATGTGTTTATGGAAATGAAAAGGATATACAGATTTAAAGTTCAAACACATTTTACCTTAAACTGTGGAAGCAGAATTTATTCTTTGATATTAAATCAGGATAAAATGTATTTATTAATTTATTGAAATAACAGTTTTTGTGTTGCTATAGTTGATTTAGTGTTTCATCAACTGATATTCGATACTGTATTTTATATTAGATTTGGTGTAACGTAGGAACACCAAAGTAAGACTTTATCACTCTTTCTTTCTTCCACTCTCACACGTTCACACTATATTCTATTAACAGAACAAGTTTTACCAGACGGCTGGAAAGACACAATGAACTGTAGGATAATGGGTTATTGATGGCCGAGGAGTGTAGTGCTTTTATTTGTTGTGGCCCCTCTGTGGCAGGTTAGTAATTGGTCAGCGGCTCCAAGTAAATTACCACTGTGGCTGCTCAATCCTCCAGGACCCACACGAACAAACACTGGTGCAGAGAGATGGGTTGGTTTCTTTTATTGACAGTGGTTTATTGATTAAGGTGAAGCAGCCTGTTCTGTTTGTGTGTGTGATAGAGATAATTTATAGTTTAATGCACAATAGTGTATTTGTGTGTAGTAGTGTTATTGTTCATGTATTGTTGTTGTTGAATCTGTTGCCTGACATTTGGAGTGATAATCAGAATTTAAAGGTATCCCTCCCCCAGGTATAGCACATTGATTTAACAGATACAAGACATTTAAAATCTTCAGCTGACAGGAATCAATAGACATTTATACTGAAATAATAGTAATACTTCCTTCCCTGATGCATTGGTGACATGTATGAGTTTGCTGAAAAGGGAATAATTCCAGGAAGAGATGTAATAGTGTTATATTCACAACCAAAATTATGTAGAAACCCACAGCACACAATACATCAGACAATATTGTGCTTTAAACTTTGGGGTAACAGTTTGGAAAAAAAATCTTTCTGGTTTCAAAATGAGAATACTGGCATGCACAAAACAAGCAGTTAAAGAAAAAAATGTATTTGGTGTGGAATAACTTGACTGGCCTCCGCCCAACTACTAATAGCCATATCACATTGTTCGAAACTTTTTACCTGGCACATTTAGAAGCTGGTTCAAGCACATCCTGAGCTAAAACAGGATTTATTTATATTGTTTCCAACAGGTTTGCACATAATACAATGCCCATGTTCTGTATTAATGGGCAGAGGACAATAACCGTCTCATAGTTAACAGTGTATGTTTTACAAACATCTTTTAAGTGAGGTAAAAAGTAATTTGAAGTAATGCATAAACCAACCCAAGGAGGGCTTACTACCCCCCCTTCCTACACTGAATATGATCAAATGAGTTTATGGTGCTGTGTTATTGCACTAAACAACCACAAGTCAACGGTTGACGAAAACGGCAGCGCTTTACGACACTTTTAACAACACCATTTACGACAGTGTCATGGCGTCGCACGGAGTCAGTTTTGAGAGTACGAGCTACATCGAAGAACGAAAGGATAGTAAACGACAAGCACGAGAAGAGGTGATAGAAAAGGTAAGAACTGCAAACTTTGTAGCGAACAACCCCATCGTAATCTGAGGGTTAGCTTCATTGGCGTTTGTTATTATTTAAATTATAGCCGTTTAGTCCGAACGCAAGCTAACAAAGCTAAGTAGGCGAACGGCTAGTTAACGCTACGAATGAGCTCAGCGACTGAACACTATCCTTTTAGTAAAATTGTCCTTAACCGTGGTATAAATTGGCATCTTTGTGTCTCTCTCCGACTTCCGGAGAGCTATCACTACCTGTGTGCCTTCACATTAACCCGATAATCCCCGTGTCTGGACAGGCGGATACTGTTAACCTGCAGGCAGGAAATTACCGCCTCAGGACAAACACTGCTGGGGCAGATAGGAGACCTGCGGCTGTGTTTTGTTTAGGTTTTATGTCAGGTCGTTGTTGTAATCACGCGTGTACACAGGCATTTAATTGTACGTTATCTTTTTTTTTTAGCTGTGCAGCTGTGTTTGCATGACACACAGAGCAGATGATGCTCGCTGTGGATGAGCACTAAAGGTTGTAAACACATTATCCGCCCCGCTCATCTGTGCTTGAACTGGCCAAAGCAAAGAGCTCAGCTGGGTCTGATTCATTCTGATGTATTTGAAGAGGAATTGGCTCAATAATGACTTAAGAACTCATCGTTGTCATTACCAGTGCAGCCAAGGATGTAGTGTGTGCAGGTTTTAAGTCGTTAGATGCTCAAATGTTTACAAATCATAACTCATATCAGCACTATCACTTCAAGTGAGACTTCAATTTTCCTCATGGGGGTTTACAATCGGTACAGCATAGGACACCCAATTGTCTTTTTCGACCCTCACTTCGGATAAGGAAAACTCTTTAACAGGAAAGAGATGGAAGAGCAACTGAGGACGGATCCCACTCCCAGGGTGGACAGATGTGCAGTAGAAGTTACTTTGAACTGTTGTATTTTTGAGTAATGCCTTTTATTTCCTTTTGTGTCATTCAGGCCAAGCAGCAGTATGAAAAGGAAGAGAGGAGGAAGGAGCTGAAGAGGCAGAGAGGCGAGGACACTTGGATGCTCCCTGAGATCAACCAGAGGCTGCAGGAGATAGAGGAAGTAAGATGCAAAGGTTTTTTTTTTCACTGTATTGCAAAACAATTCTTAGGCTAACTCCTAGCCAAGTCCCAACTGTATTCTACCTCAAAACACTAGTATTGTGTAATCGTATCAAACATTTATCTACGCTTTCACTGCCCTTATGATGTTTATTGAAGCAGTTATCCAGGGCAGAATTGGGAAGCTCTTGCGTTAAACTGATGTTAATATTGGCTGTGGCTCAGTGCAGAGAATGGGTCATCCTTTAACCACAAGCTCGGTGGTTTGATCCCCGGCTAAGTCAATAACTATGAGTGTAGTCAATCATACTTTTGTGAAACACACCCCTAGATAGAGACACATGGAGCAAATAAGTTGTCCTTGCATACCTTGTGTGATAGAGGGCTGACTCTATGAATATCTTGCATCATGATAAACAATAATGCAACCAATAAAAACGAAAAACAAAATTCATGGACTCTACAGGAAGGGTCTGCAAAGAGCAAGAAGAAGAAAGAGAAGAAATCTAAAAAGAAAAAGGAGAAAAAGAAGAAGTCCAAGAAGGAGAAGAAGACAGCAGAAGATGGCCCTAATGACAGCTCAGAGGTGGGTTGTTAAGTTATTCTCCAGTGCAGGAATCCTTAAACAAGTTAACACCCGAATAGTGCAAGTTGATGCTACTACACTGGTACAATATTTTAAAATGATTTAAAGTTTAAATTTAGAATTCCTTACAACACTACAGAGTCTTTATCACACAGGGATGGTGTTTGTTTTTATTTATTTAGCCTCAGGCCTCTTCCTTCATTTATTAATTTTCCATTCTTTTGTTTTAATATGTTAATCTCTTGTACCGTTTTCCTTCCTCATCATCATTTTCCACCCCCCTCTCCCCCCCCCCCCCCCCCCCTCTCTCTCTGTGTGTCAGGACTCGGGGGATGAGTGGGTTGAGGCTCAAACACAAGCCGCTAAAGCCTGGCAGGTTCCCGATGAGTCCAAGCCTTCAGAGAGCAATCTCAACCCAGCACAGAACGTCGAGGTAACTTCCTAACCTGGTCTTGCGCATACTGAATGCGTTTTTATTGCGGTTTTTTTTATACTACAACACATAATAAATTCAATGCTAGTACTGTCGCTTTTTCCACAATGGAGATGAATAAAGAAGCTAAATGGAGCCCAAGTGTCTAGAGGTAATACTGTATCTCGAGGTACATGCATTATTTGCTTCATCTGGTTTAGTACCAGACTTACTTACCACCCTCTAGATCTATGTATCTTTCTTTGTCTTTGTTTGACCCCCCACACTGACTTGTCTCTGTCCCTTAGAGAGACGAATGGATGACCTTTGACTTCCTGGCAATGAAAACCACGTCCACAGCAGAGAAGAGAGCTGTGAAGGACCGACTGAAAGAGGAGGAGAGGGCAAAGGCTCAGGCCATTGAACAGGTCTGTGTGTGTGTTTTATTTATTTACTTATTGTTGTCCGCAGGGCATTTTAGTCTGAACTTTTAGCATTTGCTCCCCTGATGTGCTTTTGATGTGTGTGTGTGTTTGTGGTTCCCTCAGGCTGGTTTGCACAAACTGGAGCTGAACCCGTACTGGAAAGATGGAGGAACCGGTCTCCCCCCCGAGCAGATGGCTGCAGCTAAGAAAGGTAACAACAGAGATCAGTCGACTAAAACCACGTTTTGGTCTCAGCACCTCAGAATAAAGTTTCACTTCAGACTTTGTTTATTGATTTTATTTTTTAATACTCAAGCACAGAAATCCAGAAGGAAAGGCCGTGCCATCAGTGTCTCTGATGGAAGTATTGTCAGTAGACCAGAGTTGCCTCACTATTGCAATTCAAATAATCTTCCTGCTCTCTACAATCACACACTGTTCATACACTTCCATGTTTGCTTACAGCACTTCACACTCTTTGCTCTACCTGTTGTACTCTTCATCCCTAATTTTCTCATTTCCTGTCCTGTCCTCCCTCCTCAAACATACTAGCTTAAACAAGGGGCTTAAGTACATTTTACACTTGACCAGTGCATGGATATATATATATATATATATATATATATATATATATATATATA